GTGAGGGGCACCGGCGGAGCCGGGCTGGCGGGTCGGGAGTGAGGGGCACCGGCGGAGCCGGGCTGGCGGGGGCTGCGGGTCGGGAGTGAGGGGCACCGCCCAAGCCGTTGCCCTTGACTCGGGCTCCGTGTTCGCTCTGCACGGGCTGGGGCTGCGGTCGGAAGCCGCCGCCTGCGAATGGACCTTGGCCCTGACCCTCTTCCTCCTCTTCGGCCTCTTCGCCGTGGATTTCCGGCACATCCAGTCCTGCTCCGTGCGGCTGCAGCGCCGGGCCCCCGCCCCGGCCCTGGAGCTGGGCGCCACCTCCACCCAGACCCTGGCGCTCTAGGCCCAGCCCTGCCAGCCAGCAAACCGGGGACAGGCACCCCCACGGCTCGGGGGCAGGGACCCTTGTGCCCCACTGGGGCTGGACGGCCACCCCCAGCTCTTCCCCCCGCCCCTGCTGGGGGCACTGCTGGGGGGAAGCTCGCAGCGCTGGGGGCTGACTGGCTGCTGGGATGGAGACTGGTGGAGCCACAGTTCTGGTGTTGGGGGGGATGTTCAGAGAGCCCCATATTCCCCCCCCCCCGGGGACAGAAGTGGTCTGATGCCCCCCCAGACACGGGGGGGGCTGTAATAAATGTGGGGTTTCTCATAGCTGGTGCCTCTGTCACATTTGGATGGAGGAGAGGGGCTGGGGGGGCAGGGGAAGGAGCAGAGACTGTCCCCCCCATACCCCACACTGCCTGGCAGGGGCAGGGCATTGCTCAGAAATGGGCGGGGGGAGGAGCTTGCCAGAGCCAGGACTCCTGGGTTCTTTCCCTGATGTTGGCAGGGAGGGTGTCTAGTGGGTAGAGCAGCGGGGGCGGGGAGCCAGGACGCCTGGGTTCTATGATCAGGAGGGGGTGAGGGGGAAAGGCTGGCGAGTGGGGGTGGGGGTTACAATCCTCTCATCTCTCCATGGGGAGGGGGGGATACAGACCAGCTGCTCCTTCTGCCCTGGGTGCACCCCAGAGCCCCCCCACAGTCATTAGCTGATTCATCTACCCAGAGTGCCATGGGGCAGGGTGGGAGTCGGTGCCCCTAGAGGGGACAGGCCCTGCGCCCCATTCGCTGCCTCCCCCAGCGCCCCAGATTCCTCCCACGTGGGTTTGCACCTGGCTGGTGGGGAGCCAGGGTTTGGTGGCACTGATGGGGGGGGGTTGAGGAATTGGGGGGGGGGCTGGACTGGGGAAGGGGGTCTGAGTGGTGGGGAGGTGGAGCCCCCTGGGGGGATGGGGGTAGGGTGGGGGAGGTTGGGAGGGGTGGATGGAAATCCGAGGCGGGGGCAACAAATGGAGAGTTGGGGAAGGGGGCAGAGCCGGGGGGGGGGTTGGGGGGAGGAGGCCTGGGAGGGAGGGGGCTGGGACCGGGCTGTCTGAGCCCAGGTCTCGGGGGGGGGGGACAAACGGTGTGAGGCCCCCCCTGTGTGGGAGGTGGTTCTTGGTCAGTTTTTTCTGTTTGTATTTTTTGGGGTTTTTTTTTAGAGCATCACTGATCCCCAAGACAGAGAAATGGGGGGGGGGACAGAGCGAGAGACAGACACGGGGGGAGGCGGGGGGTGCTCACAGGCAGCAGCTCGCCAGCATGGAGCCCCAGCTCCCCACCAGGATTGCCCGGGGGGGCACCGAGAGGGGGGAGACGCCTGCCCCGGCGTGGGGGGGGGGGCAGAGCTGCGAGACCCGACAGGTGCCCCTCACTCCCGACCCGCAGCCCCTGCTAGCCCAGGCATGGGCTGTCGGCCCATTGGAGAAGCAAGCCAGGGCAGGTTCTCCTTCACTTCCTGTCCTGAACCGGCCCCCGCGCCCCACCCCAGAGAGGCTGCGTCTCATGATCGATCCCAGGCTGAAAAGGAATCCGGGGGGGGGGGGGAGCAGTGTGGGACATAGGGTCCGGTTTGCTCCATGCTGGGAATCGGCGCGTAGGGGGACCGGCAGAGAGAGTAGTGGAGGGGGGGGGCATCTTCCCCTTTGAGCTACACCCAGATGGCTCGGCGGCTTTGCTCCGGCTGTGCCCCCATGTAAACGCCCTTAACCAGCTTCAAATCGGTTTAGTTTAAATCTGCTTCCATTTTCCATCACCTTTTGTAGCCGAGGCGCAGAACCCACGCCGGCACCTGTGCGGGTGAAGGCGAGAGTGGACGCCCCCCAAGCCGTGTGGTGGGCAGACGCAGCCCCACCTGCCTTTCCAGGCCTGTTACCCCCTCCAGCCAGGGAGCAGGGAACCCCCCCCCAGCCTTGCCCCAGGGCGGAGCGGGAGTGGTGTTGCTGTAGACTAAACCCATTGGATTTGGTGCCAGTTTGAGCCTGGGTTTTAACCAGGTTTCAATCTGGTTTAGCGGCTTCCCTTGCAGGGCGGGTGGGGGAGAGGAGGGGTGCATCCTTAACAGGAGCCGGCTGAGGCCGGGTTAGGCTCTAAGCCCAGACGCTTTTGCTTGAGGTTGGCCTGGTCTGCACGGAAAAGTGAGGTGGGCCGGCCACTCCAGTCCAAACCGGCTTTCAGCCCCCCGGAAGGGGCGCGGGGTCAGAGGGGGAAATGGGTTGACGTTCACACTGGGTAAGAAATCGTTGACGGTGGACCACGGCTGCTGTGAAATGTGTTTACACTTGGAGTGGGTTTCACTCCGGTTTAACAAAACTGATTTCGACCCGGTCTACATGTGCCCAAGGTGCGTCGGTTTGGCCCGGAATCTCATTCCCGGCCTCGGGGGAGCTGCTTTCGTGAGCGGCGACGTGATGCGTTACCCTCCTACGACCCCTGATTTGGCCCTGGGATCTTCCCCTGGCTGCTCGGGGGGGAGCCGTTCCCCTTCGTATAAATCGTTCACTAGCCCCCGGGCCGGGCGTGGGCTCAGCGGGGAACCGGACGACCTGAGTTCCGGTCCCGGGTAGGAATCCGGCAGCCGGCGGATCTGAACCTGGCCCAAATCACTAGGCTAGTCGCTCGCTCCCCCAAATCGACACCCCTCGGGCCGGCTCGTAACTCAAATCCCATTGGACGCGGGGCAGATCTGTGCTTTCCCCGCCCAGAAATCGTCGAAGGTGGCTCATTGCTGCTACGAAGCCGGGTGAAGCGCGTCTACACTTGGGAGCGGGTTTCACTCTGGTTTAACAAAACTGATCTCGACCTGGTTTACGTGCAGCCGAGGCCGTGGCCTGGCCCAGGAGAGGGACCATTCACCTCGGGAGCCTTCGAGTTTCAGCCGCCTCCGTCGCTTTCCCGCCCGCCAAGGAGGCGCGTCGAAGCGGTCAGCAAGAAAGACGCAGCCAGAGCCCAATACCATTCCTCTGCCGTCTGAGTGTTTCCCGGGGCCGGGTGGGGTTTAATGGCTTATAACGTGCTGACGGTTTGGGTCCCAATTCAGAAACCGGCGGCTTCCCCCGCCCCACCCCGCCACGTCCCTCTGCGCAACCGGGAAACGGTAAAGAAACGGCGGCCGAGCAGAAAGCGGCGTCGGCCCCACCGAGGCGCGAGCAGGCCGGGGCCTCGTCCAGCCACAGCGAAGTCGGTTCCTTTCTTTCCTCGGATCCACCGCGGATGGAGCCGGCGCGGAGGCAACGCTGCCGGTTCCCTCCCTGCCTGGCTCCGGAGCTGGGGGCGAGCGGAGACGCGGCCCCGGGTTTCAAGGGACGGGGAGAGTTTCGCCCTGTGGGAGAAGAAACGCCCCCCGTTTCCGGGACCGGCGTGAGCCGGCTTTGATCTGGCCTCGGGGCGTCCACACGCGCGTGGGGACCGGAGCCTCCTGCCTCGCTTCACTGCAGCAGGGGGGCGGGTGGGGGCCATGAAAGCAGTGTGGGAAGAAGCCAGCCAAGGTCCGGGATGGATCAAACCGGGGTGCGGGGGGGGTTGTGGGGCAGGGGGAAGGAGGGGGGAGAAGCGGAGGAGAGGGTAACGAATCCACCTATCCACTCCCTCCCCCATTCAATAAATTAAATTAAAATCTCGTTTTCCCCCCTCCCCGACGCCCGCCCTGGCCAGCCAGCCAGCCGCCCCGCCCCCGCTCCCCCCCCCCATCGCCCGGCTCCATCACCCGGCTCCTCCGTTGAGTTTTTTGTTTTCTCTGTGGGGTTTTTTGTGGGGTTTCTTGTCATTTGCAGTTTCCTTTTCGTTCTTCTGTGTTGGGGGTGGGGGGGGTCTTGTTTGTTTTCAATATTTACAGGTTCACAGTATGGTCTGCTCGGACGGCGGCACCTGCTCAGCCGTTGGGGGGGGCAATTCCCGTGTGGCCCCCCAAAGCCCCGTCAGGGCCGAAGTCCCGTCCGTGTCGTTCTTCCTCTCCTTCCCGCGCTGGCCGCAGGGGGCCACGGGGGCCGGGGCCAGAGCGGGGGGGCCGGGCTCCCCGGGGGTCACGGCTGCTGCGGGGGCTGGGGGGCCTGCGTCCCGTTGGACGACACGAGTTTCTTTTCCTTGCACGAGCCGCGGCGAGGTTGCTCCGAGACGTCGGGGTCGGAGCGCCGGGAATTCTGGGCCACGCGGGTGGGGGTGCCCGGGGGGCGCGGTTGCTGCCCGTTCTTCTCGTCTGGGGCGGGCGGAGAGACATGGATTAGAAACGGGCGACCCTCACTCCCGACCCCCAGCCCCTGCTAGTCCGGCCCTCCCTCCCCCCAGCCCTGCCAGTGCCCCTCACTCCCGACCCGCAGCTCCTGCTAGTCCGGCCCTGCCCCCCAGTTCTGCCGGTGCCCCTCACTCCCGACCCGCAGCTCCTGCTAGTCCGGCCCTGCCCCCCAGTTCTGCCGGTGCCCCTCACTCCCGACCCGCAGCCCCCCCAGCCCAGCCCAGCCCAGCCCTGCCCTGCCCTCCCCCGCCCTGCTGGTGCCCCCAGGGGAAAGGCCGCGGAGCCGGACTCACCGGCGAGGGCCTGCACCGAGGGCTGGTCGTGGGAACTGAGCAGCTGAGCCTGGATCGTCTCCACGACCCGCTTGAATCGACGGCTGGGACCTGGGGGGAGATGAGAGGTTGGGGGGGGCTCCCCGGGTCCTGTGTT